TAGATTTTAGGAAGAATCCTACAGTCATCTCTCCTGTGGTCATTAATGATCATGTTGTTGAGGTTGTACATCAATTTAAATACCTTGGTACTGTAATAGATGAACAGTTGACCTTTGAGGCTCATGTGGATGCTGTGTGTAAGAAAGCCCACCAGCGTATGTTCTACCTGCGGAAGCTTTGTAGTTTTAAGGTGGACAGTACTTTCATGAAGATGTTTTACTCTTGTTGTATTGAATCTGTCATTACTTTCTCATTTGTGTGTTGGTATGGGTCACTAAACGTTAAAAACAGAAACAGATTGCAGGGTATTGTTAAAGTGTGTGGTAAGATTGTTGGCACCACTTTAAATGATTTGAACGACTTGTCTAGGACTTTGAAGAAGGCTGAGTTAATTATGAATGATCCCAGCCATCCCTTGCAGAATGTTTTTAAGTTGCTTCCTTCTACTCGTAGATATTATTTGCCTTTATGTAGGACTAATAGATTTAAAAATTATTTTATACCAGCTGCCATTAGCTTCTTAAATTATAAATAATTGTATGTATATTATTAATGGAAGTCATTGTGTGTTTGTTTGTGTTGTGGTTACTTGTTTGTTGTTTGCATATGATTTACTGTTGGCTGTAAAACAAATTGCCCTTTGGGGATAAAAAAATAAATACAAAAAAACTACTGTTTATATGGTGTTAGTACAGTGAACGTATTTCCACTGAGAAGAACTATTTCTTAATATAAAACCGCAAACACTTAAAGTGTAATAATATAGCAACCAAAACATGAGGTTTACTCTAATCTTTGCAGATTTTCAAATAGCTAGTTATAGCACACATTTATGTACTAAAATACTTAGTAAAGAGAGTGTCACTGCATCAGCAACTCGACAGTTTCTGTCTTTAAATAAAGCAGCAGAACATCAGTGTTTGTGGCTCATCACTGACTGAAGCACAGGCTCTACTCTCCAGCACAATGTGTGACCCATTGTGTTAAACTAACTCAATTAAACTAAAAAACACATAAATACAGTTCAGATTAATATTTACTCTCCTTATCACTTAATGACTTTGCATAACTTGTTTATGTGTGTATATGTATATATATATATATATGGTCACTCTCTATGGTCACACACAGGTTGCTAAGAGGTTAAACTGTTACTGTTAACATGGTGGAAGTTTTCCATGAACAAGCACCACACACATTTTCTCAAATCTAGAAAGTGATATATAATTAGATCCACTGCCACTGAATCTAGATGGAGTTCCTGACTGTAGAGTGTTTATTGTATATATGAGGAGTTTAGGAGCTTCTCCAGGTTTCTGCTGATACCAAGACACACAGGTATTACAGCCAGAAGTCAATGGACTGGTTTTACAGCTGATCGTAACAGTTTCTCCTTGTTTGATGGATTTTATTTCTGGATCCTGAGTCACTGTCACTTGGCCCCGGATCTCTGAAATAAGACATTTTAGTTATTTAGTGGTTCTTAGACTGTACATGAGATGTGATTGTTTATTTTGAAACATAATCAATTACAAAATATTTACCCTGAATGCAGAGCGCAAGAGTCCAGATGAGGATGATGATGTTGTTCATTGTTGTTGTTGTGTCTTGTGTGATGATGAAGATTGTGTTGTGTTCTGCTCTCAGTCATGAAGTGTTAAACTCACAGCACTATAAACACTCTCAGAGCACTGAAGCATGTGCTGACGATGCAAAGAAGTGGGCAGGATTCACAACAGCTTGAGCTGCTAACAAACTCATATACACTGTTATAGAACTAATAAATTTACACTCTCACAAATATAATTTTTTAGAAACAATTTTTTAATCATTTGTGTGACAAGTCATTTTTGTGGATATTTCACTGGTTCTTATTACAGTGGTTTATACTGACACATATCAACACGAATGCAGCATCTGACAGAAGTCACTGCAGAAATATCCTCTTCACAGGTGTATTTCTCCCCCGTGCAGTTCTAGCACAGCCAACGGTGTCTGATAATAGGATATTTACTGAGACAAAGCAAAGTAATGCTCAGCTGGTCATGTGATCTCAACACGGCTGCCACCATAGAGCCTCAGCTGCTCCAGTTACTGCATGTCAACAGAGCATCCAATCACTTCAATAGTTTCCAGCAAAGATTAATGACTGCCGTACACTCAATATTGCAGCACACTATAATATGAATATTATTAGGAATCAAGAATTAAGAATTTTCTGTGACTCATGATGATTGAGCTGCATATGAAGAACAGAAACATAATTATGAGAAACTTTATGAGAAAGAGGTCAAAGCTCACCTCAAAGGTCATAGATCAAAGACATTTCTTTTAAAAAAGTGTTATATCAGCACGTCACAAGAGAATGAATGAGAAATATAGGATTGAATCATGTATTGTAAATGAGAGAATAAAGAAGAGAATAAACTCTTCATCTGATTATGAAAGATTTACATTGTTAATCAAGCAATAACAAACATTTTTTAAAGTATTTTGTGTGAAAGAGATTAATTCTTGCTTTTTGAAAAGCATTTTGCCAAAACTAAATTACTCTTGCCAACAGCTGAGATGTGTCTCTATCAGTGTGTTGAAGTGTTTCTCTCTCTGCTGGAGTTTGTGTTCACTCGAGTGCAAGAGAGGTTTTTGTACGAGTCTTTCATTAGATAGTAGCACTGTGGTACACATTCGGTGGAGGAACTAAACTGCTGCTCGGTAAGTCTGTCTTTTTAATTCTGTAATGTAGTCTCACAATCTCTGTTTGAAATTGAGTTACATTTTTAGTTAAATATTGCACCTAACAAAAATGTAAAGACTTTATTTAGGGATGCAAAAACTACTGGGGTTAAATCCGTAAATATCTTAGTATGTTTCATTTCATTTGTGTGGTTTAATTGAAATGTAGTGATTTTTCAGCTCATTTAAAATGTTGATTCAGTTGTTTTCTAATTTAATCAACAACATCACTTTCACTTGATCTGAACTACGGTCACAACATTTCAGCGTAAAATTGTTACATTTTGAGAAGCGTAAATAAGAGAAAATATGTGAGCCTGGAGGACAAAAGCAGTCTTAAGTCGCTGGGGTATATTTGTAGCAATAGCCAACAATACATTGTATGGGTCAAAATGATAGATTTTTCTTTTATGCCAAAAATCATTAGCATATTAAGTAAAGATCATGTTCCATGAAGATATTTTGTAAATTTCCTACTGTAAATATATTAAAACTTAATTTTTGATTAGTAATATGCATTGCTAAGAACTTCATTTGGACAACTTTAAAGATTATTTTCTCAATATTTAGATTTTTTTGCACCCTCAGATTCCAGATTTTCAAATAGTTGTATCTCGACCAAATATTGTCCTATCATAAAACAAACCATATATCAATGGAATGCTTATTTATTCAGCTTTCAGTTGACGTATAAATCTCAATTTTGAAAAATTGACACTTAAGACTGGTGTTGTGGTCCAGGGTCACATATAAGAGTGTAATTGGCATTCAATTCTAAACATGATCTCAGAAAACTACTGGATTAAAGCAGTCAGTGTCTTTGTACATTTAGTTTCATTTTATGAAGTTTCGTGTTAATGTATACAGAGATGTGTAGTTTTTATTTTATATATACTTATAAATATAAATATATCAGCTGTAGTGTTGTTGAATAAGATAAATGATGAGAATGTTGTGATCTTGACTGCATTTCACACGTCTGCTGCTGAAAGTCCTGTTGAAATGCTGTGAATGCTGGATACTAAATGCATATCAAATATATTATTTTGAAACAATAAGTATATTAAGCATATTTCAAGATATGTTTAAGATCAGTTTTTAGCTATTTGCAAAATATTTTAATATATTAAATTGTGTAAAATTGGAACCACTTCAAGTACATTTAGTGCAATTTAATTGTATTTATTTACAATCAATGTAAAATATTATTTTAATGTGATTCAGTAATATTTCAATAGCACGTCAGCTCATTAGAAATGCATTAGCATCACAATACTAGTTTATTATTAAGTTGCTTTTTTTCTGGTATGAAAAATGGTATAAAGGTGCAAAAATCATTTTTAAATATTTTCAAATTTTTAGAATTCTTAGAATGAAATAATTATAGTTGACATTTTTTATAATACATTAGAAGTTTATACATTGTAAGAATACACTTAGACACTTAAACACACAATAAGATATGGCACGTATAGCTGTAATGTATTTATGCAGAATTAATGTGATCTATATAAAACAATGTTTTTCAAAATATCTTACTTTTGAAAAGCACATGCTCATTATGGAAATATTTCAAACATATTGCAGCGGGCCTACACATTGTTATAAAGTACTTCATTAAACCCTATAAAACCTGAATCATTTTGCTATCTTCTTACACAACGTACACATAAAATATACTTTAGGTAAGAGTAAAATTAAAAATTAGTTTTACAAAATACACTAAAACTTTACTTAAAGTATGCTTGTGTTAAGAATATGACTTAAAAGCTCAACTAAGCACATATTTATTTGCATACTTTTTAGAAATATTTTAAAATGCAGTTTAATCTAGTTTAATGCACTTCAAATAAGCATGTTGTGGATACAAATGCACTTTGTACACTTTAAGTATATTTTTAATACATTGAATAGTTTGTCTTTTCCACCTGGGAGCACACAGACAAACCCATTACATTTCAAAGGGATAACGTATATGAAAATGTCAGTAAAATCATAAAAATCTATGATCATAAATACAGAATAAATCGTTCTGACAGTAATTGTGTAAGAATATACATATTTCTGTGGGTCGAATGGAAAGCATCACGTCCAGACAGCAGAAGAGACTGAATCTGTTCAGTTTGATCGACAGAGATCATATATTACACCTAAATATGATGATCATATTAAAACACTGACTCATTCTCTTCAGAAGTACAATATTTCTGTTAATAATAATGATATTGTGTTATTAGTGTTTGTGTTGATCAGTGTTGTGTGTGATTGTGTTGTAGAGCAGCTGCAGTGTCTCTCAGCTGTATCAGTGCAGTCACTGTGACTCTGACTGACCGAGGTTTTTGTACGACTCTTTATCACTGTGTGAACACAAAACCACTATGATAGCTCTGACAGTAATAATCTCCTGTATCTTCAGTCTGGACTCCACTGATGGTGAGAGTGAAATCACTGTTAGATCCACTGCCACTGAATCTAGATGGAGTTCCTGACTGGAGGCTGTTTATGTCATATATGAGGAGTTTAGGAGCTTCTCCAGGTTTCTGCTGATACCAGGCCAAATCATTAGAGGTTAGTCCTACATCCAGACTACACTCTATTGTAGCTGTTTGACCGAGCTGGACAGTTTTAACTTTAGGCTGAGTCACAGTGATTCCTCTGGATTCTGAATAAAAACAATAAAAATGTAAATCTCACTTATAGCACAATATTGGCATATTAAAATGTTATAAAACAACAACAGCATAATATTATTGTCAAAAATGATCATCCTACCTTGAATAAAAGCCGCAGGATTTACAATGCTGAAATGTTATTCGATTAAAACAAACTTGCTCGGTTAGTGTGGTTCATTTTAAGTTTGAAAGCTGCCATCCAAACCTTGGTGCACATCAGATGCGCCGCGAGTTCACGGAGCGGATCGGGAAAATTATATGGATAATATTTTCAGCGATTAACAACATAAATTCTGCTCTGGATCACACAAACCTACTGTATTCCGCCAGAGAGGACTGCGGGTGCAACGTATCGTCATTTGGATTACTTTTAGTGCTGCTTTTGATATTTTTGCAATAAATAAATGATTGTAACGTTAATTGCATTTATCTGTCTGTCATGTTTTTCTTATACTGTACAGAAATGTTTAGGCTTATATGTAGGAGTGGAATTGGCGACTATAAATATATTTTAATGCTGTATTGTTACTAAAAGTTTTATTTTCCTGCGTATTTCGGTCATTTGCGTTTTATATCCTTTACATATCGCTATAAAATGGGTAGTTTAAGGTTTGGGGTAGGTTAAGGGGTCTAAAATATTCGCTATAAAATGGGTAGGTTTAGGTTTGGGGTAGGTTAAGGGGTCTAAAAATCGAAATCGCTTATTGATAAAATGATAAAAATGCATTGATATGAATATCTAAATGATATAAAATATACGTAAATATTTTTACGTTTTTTAGCTACATACATAACTATACTTCCAATGCCTAGCAACATGCCAGAAAAACCAAGCATGCATCTGAAGACCACTGAGGTCCACTTATAGTCTTCACCTGCGGTCTCTTGTGGTTTAGTGGTGTCTGCTGTGGCTAATTGAGTCCATTCTCAGAATAGATAGATAGATAGATAGATAGATAGATAGATAGATAGATAGATAGATAGATAGATAGATAGATAGATAGATAGATAGATAGATAGAAGCATGCCTATAGTGAAATTTTTGCAAAATTATGAGTCTTTTTGCATGCATCAAAAACTGATCATGTAGATCAGTGTTGTGTGTGACTGATCTGATCAGTGTTGTGTGTGTGTGTGATTGTGATCTGATCATTGTTGTGTGTGTGATTGTGATCTGATCATTGTTGTGTGTGTGATTGTGATCTGATCATTGTTGTGTGTGTGATTGTGATCTGATCATTGTTGTGTGTGTGATTGTGATCTGATCATTGTTGTGTGTGTGATTGTGATCTGATCATTGTTGTGTGTGTGATTGTGATCTGATCAGTGTTGTGTGTGTGATTGTGATCTGATTGTGTGTGATTGTGATCTGATGGTGTGTGTGTGTGTGATTGTGATCTGATCATTGTTGTGTGTGTGATTGTGATCTGATCATTGTTGTGTGTGTGATTGTGATCTGATCATTGTTGTGTGTGATTGTGATCTGATCATTGTTGTGTGTGTGTGTGATTGTGATCTGATAATTGTTGTGTGTGTGATTGTGATCTGATCGGTGTTGTGTGTGTGTGTGTGTGTGTGTGATTGTGATCTGATCATTGTTGTGTGTGTGATATCTGATCATTGTTGTGTGTGTGTTTGTGATCTGATCATTGTTGTGTGTGTGATTGTGATCTGATCATTGTTGTGTGTGTGATTGTGATCTGATCAGTGTTGTGTGTGTGATTGTGATCTGATCATTGTTGTGTGTGTGTGATTGTGATCTGATCAGTGTGTGTGATTGTGACCTGATCAGTGTTATGTGTGTGATTGTGATCTGATCATTGTTGTGTGTGTGATTGTGATCTGATCATTGTTGTGTGTGTGATTGTGATCTGATCA